TTGCAGGATGGAAAGCAAAAGTGACCTTGTCTGCAAGGCCCTCCGTGTAATCTTTTCACAGCAGCTACTCTTCTTCTCAGCCTTTGATTGAGAGATAAATGAAGTCCCTTCCCTCCCTCACCATGCCTGCAGTGCTTTCTAGGGAGCCTGTACCAGTCCTGCTTGCCCTTCTCCTGATTATTGGCACTTATTTGAAAAACATCTTAGGCTGTTTCCCTCCTCCCACTCAGTAAGCCCCATGTGCTGTTTGCCTGAGCACAATATCCACATCATATCAACAGAAAGAGCTGGAGATTAGGTCTGTCATTTTGGACTACCTCTACAATTTGCAGTGTCATCACAGCTTATTCCACATCATTCATTCTTTTAGAGAAGCAAAACATGAAATACCATTGCTGTTACTCCAGTGGTGGAATGGCAGTGCAGGCTTCCCAGCTTCTACTTGTAATGTTACTAAAGGAAACCCGTTTAAAACATTCAGTCAAACAACCATGTGCTCAAACAGTTTCTAACCTTCCCCCCGTGCTCTGGGGCAGGATAGCTCTCTCTCTATTACTTTCTTACTACTGTGCTCTTAAAAGTCAAAACCAAAAAGTTATTTATGGAGGCTTTTATTGTAGAGCAATGTGACCTTTACAGCACCCACACAAGTATTAGATACAGTGAAGTTTCCTGAAGAGAAAAAAAAAAAAAAGACATTAAGGCATAATGGAGCTGCATCCCTGCAGTTCGCTGTTAGGTTATGTGAGGTTAAGCTGCGGGAGTTACACTGAAAAGCTCCTCCAGTAAGAATTGCATACAATTTTCTCTTGCTATGTGGTACAAGGAATGGATTGGGAAACATACTGCCTGTTTTCTAACAGGGTCCTCCATCTTACATCTCCCCGAAGTGGATAAATATTCAAGGCACAGCATTCGAAATACATCAGCTACCTTCTGAAGTTGCATCCTCTGGAGACCTGGGGCCAAGCAATTTATAGAGCAGGTGTATGCATAAGGACTGGGAACACATATCACAGCGCTGTGATGATCTATTCATCCAAGACTAGTCAGTCACAGATTCAAATCCTGAAACTTAGCAGTCTGGCTTTTTTCATTTGGAAACGTGAAATGAAGGATAATCTAACTGCTGTGGCAAGGATCTATCTTCCCACACTGGTTAAAAAATGCTGCAGACATTTTGATTGGAAGTTTCTCAGTTTTACAGTTTTAGAGAAAATTCTTCTGCACTCCAGACATATCTCCCCGTATTTCAGGACCAGGTTGACTGTTTTCTATACCCACTGACTTTCTCCTTGTGGGTGAGATTGTTCTTTAAGATCTAAAGCTAAAGGAACCAGAGTCTACAGCTGATTCCCAGCTATGGTGTGCTGATTTTCAAAAGTGCAAGCTGTCTTCTTGCACCCGTGGAAGACTGCTGTAGTGATTCCTTCACTGCTACCACCAAACACTTCTGAACATGCTGGTGACAGTTTTAAATGTAGTCAAGGTTCTATTTCAAAAGGGACTGAGGAGGCCAGTTTCCACTGAGCAAGAAAGTCCTAAGGATTACAGACACTTTTTGGAAAAAAGATCAGCTTAGGAGTTATGTGTTTAATATTTTGTGGATATGGACTTATACATTGAACTGCCTTAGGTGTTTTTGAAAAACATTAGCACTGCAGCTCAAACGTTTTTTAAAGTACTTAAAAACTGTGAAAGAATAGATAAAATTACCAGTTTATCTATAAGGACACATACATCTAAAAACCTATAGGCCATTCGTGTGATTAATTACTTTTGAACAAGAAGAAACACCCTGTAGAAGCTTTACTGACTCCATTCTTGAGTGTTTTATCATTGTTAGTCTGTGTAATAGAATTGAAATCATGAAGCATTAGTGCTTCAGCCTAAATTACAGTGGTGCCCTATGAAAAGCATAACAGTTTGAAATTGCTATCAGGACACAGTGCAATTCATTCATTCTGTGCGTGCTTAACAGTCTTTATTAACATAATAACACAGCTGCTAGCAGCAAGAATTAACCTCCAAGTGCTCCTTTAAAGAATGGGTTCCAGTTTCTGCTTTGCTGATGTCTCTGCTGAGATTAGAATACATATTTATTTGACTTGCTCACAAAACCCATGCTTTGGTTCCCTTATGTAAAAGGCAAAACGCAGTCTTTGGCTCAGATTAAAACGCTGTCTGTAAAACAGGGGGCTGTTTCATCTCAACGCACCAGTACCTCTAGAGCCAAATGAGAATACCGTTTACCCTACTGATAAATATTACTTCACTGCTAATGATTTTGCAGACATCCAAGTGATGCATATTGGTAACATAGGTACAGCAGGGTAAAAGCACAGTTCTACTACGTGAATCTTTCTTCTGGCAGCAACGACAATCAACACAAATAGGGACCAAACTTTCTTTTCCCAGTCTGACTTCTTGGTCTAGACCCTTGTATAAGGTAGAGTTTAGATGCACTCAGCAAGACAGACAGGAGGGCAGAACAGCAGCTCAGCAAGTGTGAAAGAGGATGGGGCAATGAGGAAACAAACAAAAGGCGAAGACTCAATTGATTACTTCCCTTAGGTACATCAAAGAGCAACCATCTGAGTACCATGACAGAGCAAGGTTTTAAAACTTGTCCAGATGGATTTAACTTGAGGTAATCAGTCAAGAATCTTCTACTTTTGGTAGCTACTAATGTATAATTATTTTAATGTAATTGCACATGTAGCTGAACTCAAGGGCAATGGACTGAATTTTAACAGGATCATGTGCCATTGTTATAACTGAAGCTTTTGTTCTATTACAGAAAAATGACTGCTTTAAACCAGCATATTGCCAGGTTCTCCTATTATCATCAGTTCGACTTTCCGCTGATAGAAATTCAGGAACTGTGACTCAGTAATGTAATATGACTATTAACAAACAAAATAAATAGGTTAAATAAACTCCTGAGCAGTGGAAAAGCATCTATTTTATCTGTGTGTATGTCTACTTAATCTGAATATGATGGTTTGTTATTATATAATGCTCCATGTACACATTTATTATTGTGACATCAATAATAAGAAAATGAAAATTAGCTTTTGAGTACAGATGTCAAGTCTAGTTGAAAGACGAATGAAAAACTTCAAACCCATCAAAAAACAGAAATATGATCAGAACCTGGCCTGAGTTCTTAATGCTCCACCAGTGGGCTTGGAGGACAGTTCCCCACAGAGGAAAACATTCTAAAAGATTTGCTTATGCTCACTGCCAGGGGACAAGAATGCCATCACCTTTTCTTTAGAAGGCAACACAGCACAGTCTTTCATCGTATTGTGTTCCGCAGACATGTGGAGTATAAACACCCTCACACAGACCTACGGTTTCTGCCTTAGGCTTATTTTGGCCAAGAGGTGTAAACAACATTTTCTCAAAGTTTTTGACTCATGAATAAGGAAGAAAGTTATGCCTCAGTCCTGCAAACATCTGTAGGGATGGAATTATGGTCGCAGATGGGTGCTCCGAGAATCCATCTGAGCTTAGTCACTTGCAGGATCGAGACCTCCATCTTTCCAGATAAGGGAAATACTAATTGTCTCTGTGCTGTCATCAGTATTGAGCACACCAGCTCAATGCAGTAAGGGGATGCTTTTACACCGGCATGAAATATCAACAAAACTAATTCTCTGAAGCTGTGGGAGTGGGGGAGTGTTGGTTTCCCAATACCCTGTCTCTTAAAGATCAGAAATATCAGGAAGCAGAACACTGAAGAGGGGAAACGGGAGCAAATTTCCTTCCCAAAGATGCTACATGCCACTATTATACTGGGCATTTCCTGAACAACCAGAAACTGTCTATTTTACAAAGCTAGAGAACCACTTTCCAGCTCCTACATGACAGCCAGACAGCAGTACCTCAGGTAAAGTAAGGGCGGCCTGCAAACATGCACACACGGACACGTGCACCCGTGCAGCACCTGGATCAGGCAAGAACCCCCGAGGAGCCTTCTCCCTTTATAGCAGTGCGTGAAGGAATTCAATTTCAATTCGAAGGCCACATTTTTTTTATGCAGGCTTCTTACAGTGTGCCTTGGCTTTGATGAGCAAGCAGCCTCATAACTGGGGTGTGCTACATTGTCCGGCACACTACTGACACGCATGGCTGCAGAACTGGAAAGACTTGTGGTAAACTCTCCTTCCCATATTGGCCCCCTCCACTGACAGAAAGCTGTCAGGAGCAGAGCTGTCATTGAGACCCTCTCCCACCAACCCAGAAGGGGAAAGGGCTGGTGGCCAGCTTCATTCTAAGTGCAGGGCACAGATGTTCATGCCCCTGACTGACCCAACGGTTTCAGCTGCAACGTGACAGAGTGCCCGATATGCCCCATTCCCAACATCTTCTCTTCCCCACCAAAGCTAGTCAGAACCACAAGGAGCATTAAGCATCAACAGAGTACTGAATTCCAGGCTCAAATAAATGATGCACTGATGATTGCCAGGTGGCAGTGGGAAGTGGCTTGCTGCCATCCCTGCCATAGATTCAAGGAAGCTTGCATGGAAGGCAAGGAATTCTATGGAGAATCACACAAGTTGCCCACCTTTAAACTGATGATATCAATTTGTGAGGATCTTAAAGATGCTAGCTAATTTTGTAGGGGTCAGAAGACAGATATGTCCAATCATGAACAGCTTTGTATTAAAAGACATGTAAGAGGGTGAAAGTGTTACGAGAATAACGTTATAGTAGGATTAAAATATGCTAAAATCTAGGAAAGAAAACAATTTTTCTATAGCAGCCTGAGCAACAACACTGTGCAAAATATTTACTAAGTGGCTTCTTACATATACTGACGTCAATGTAGCAGCTGAACCCACAGGGTCACAGACACATAGAAAGGAAGATGCTCTCCAGTGACCTGTGGTGCACTCAGTGTCCAAGACTCAAAATGTGCAGATAACAATACACTGAAGGTTTGTACGGTAATCCAGGCAGACAGCTTAGTTTGTCTTCAAGACCTTGCCCCAGTGATAAATCTCAGGTACCAAGACCACAGAATCAGGTCCTTTCTTTGTTGCTGGCATCAGCACCAGGACAACTTCAAAATAATGTCATAAGGCAAGACTAAAGTTATCCCCCTGCCAAGTCACTGGTGCCTATCACTACTACACATTCTCGAGAGGTGCCTTCACAAGATAGGACAGTGTAACTCAGTGCTCTGAAGAAATGAAGTCTCTAGGTTCTCTTGCTTTCTTGGGCACTGTTTTCTTTATAGTCGATGAGACTGGTAGGTTTTTGCTTTTCATGGATGTTGCTTTCCTCTGTTTTTGATGAGTGGTTCGGAGAGATTTCAATCCCAGCATCTCACAGTATTTATTGCACTGGTGGAGGGCTCTGAACTGCTCAATGAAGGAAATTGAGCAGTTGCCTTTAAAACCTTTGTATCTGTAGTAACAAAGAAAAAAAAAAAAAGCCAAATAGGATTTCAAGATCCATTCTCAGCACAGGGAGGCAGACTATGACTGTTGAATCATACGCAACTTGAAAACATTAAGCCAGTCTCTTTCACCCATGCTGTTTTGAGAAGCACTAACTCTGTCACAGAAAATCAAACTGAGCCATTGAGAGGTGAAGGAAACCAAGTAATAAGTAGTGACAGAGGGAAAAGGGTTAAAGAGTCATAGTTCTGTGGCCTGTGTCCTGGCTATTGTTTTTCATTTCATTTAATTGGGAATATAATTGTCTGCTGGATAACTTTGTCTCAATAGCATATAAATGAAATACATTCCACATCATTCTCTCTTAAGTTCTTCAGACTACCATGAAGAGACAAGGTTGCCGCACAAGGTCTTGTCAGAACCAGAAGCTGTTTTCATCCCAACATGTACATAACTTCTGTGCTACGCCTCTCCCTCCTCCAGGCCTGACTACAAGATCCAAGTCCTTCCCCCAAGCCTCTTGGGGAAGAAGGATGTAATGAGCATTCCTGAGGAAGGCAGTCTCATCCAGCCTTCACAGTTCCCAAGCCACTATCACATCTCCCACTGCTACCTCTCCCTTCTTCAGCGGGCTAGCAAAGCCAGGGAGTAGACAGAGCACGTACATCCCTCTTCTCCTCACCCTGCCAAGGTTGCTGGCATGCCTTCTCATGCCTGCTTTTTAAGCGGCATCAGCTTTTTTTTTAAAGCTGCACCTGCTTTTTAAAGGAGTAATTTTTGGTCAAATTACCAGGATGGAGAGGGGAGAAGAAAGGCCAGGGTGGTCCTCTCCTTTTTTTTCAGTAACCGTATTAAGTGCATGTTCTACCCTATTCTCTTGGTTCACTGGACATATCACATCCTCAGATGCGAACTGTGAGTTACCACTGCATAAAAAACAAACAAACAAGATTTAGTGCTGAAAGTAACACAACATGCTCACCACACAGCATGCCAGAGAACTCCTTTCCTCATGCAGATTGCACAGTGCTAAAGAAAACACTGATCCTTTGAGAAGGTCAAACTCTTTCCGACAGATAGGCATCTTTATTGCAACACCATTTGCCAAATTTTCTTCAAAAGAATGGTACAAGTGGTGAAAACATAATAAAATACCTTGCAACAAAAGGGGGCGATATCTGCCCTGATTTATATCTAACTGTTCTATTTTGCAACTCTCATGCTCCTCTGCAGAGAAGAAATAGAAAAGTTGAAACCTCAGGCTGACTGCTTTCCTAGCGTCAGTAAGCCCACCCTACGAGGAAAGAAATCTCTCTGGTGGGTAATGCAAATCTGGAAGTTTCTCTAGTATATCTAAAAGTTAATATTTGTTGCTTATTCAGGCATATACCAAAATGGTAACATCACAATTGCCTACTCATGGAGGATGGATCCCAAATGATCACAGACAAGCTATTGCAGCCAAGATGCTGAAGACTTTGCATAGAATTTTAAGGTCGACAGCAGACCTTAATCTTCTAAGGAATTAAATCATTGATGGTGGTTAACTCCAATGAGAGTTCAACTTTCTCATCCTAACAATTTAGGAGTCCTTTTTGTCTTCTCATACCAGTATTTTATTTTCAGATTCTTCTTTGAAGTCAGAGTTTTTGAATGTTAAGTATGCATCTCAATGAAATAAAACTCCAAACGTATTTTACTATTTGTCATGCGAAGCTGTTCATACCAGACAAGGTTACCCTCTGCATTAAACAGGTAGTAAGCCTGCCCTGCTCTGGAGAAACCACTCAGCTACCTTGCTATAAACAGCCAGATTAACCTCAAAGGTTTAAGATTATTTTTTTTCCTCTCCTCTCCAAGCAAGTTATGTGCTTGTTTACCCAAAGGAAGTTTAAGAGGAACGGCATTGTTACTACAGGGCTACACCCTGGAGCTCAGCAAGCTAATGAACTCTTCTCTTGAGCCTTTGGAGAAATAATAGACTTGAGACTTCCTACTGGAGCTCCTTTACTGCAGCCAACGGGTGTACGCTGCAGACACAGCAGCAGGACACAAGTTCCACAGGCAAAAGTGCCTGTGCTCAGCAAGAAAATCTCTTTGTATCAAGCATTGATCCCGACTCCAGAAACTAGTTAAAGCAGAGCGATGCGCTGCCAGCAAAGAGCAATAACTTTGACCAAAATATTTTTATTAATTTATCATAAACATTCAATTAACCATTGGGTCTCTTCAGTGAGTGCCAGAGGCAACAACAGCTGTTGTTACAGCACCTTCCACTGTCACGGTGTGTCACTGCTGGATGCTGCAGCAGCCTGTGTACCACAGATGCAGCTGCCAACGTCTGCGGAGATAATGAGGCTCTGTGCAGACAGCCTTTGGGCAGCATCTGCTTACGCTGGTATCTGAAATCCTCCATTTCTGCTGCAAGACTGATGGAGAGCCTTCATTTCCCCTGCCCTTTGTGTAGGTGTGTTCTGGCAGAAATCTTCATGATAAGTAACCTCCAGGGCTATCAATTAGGTGAGAAGTTTCACTGCACTGAACGCTGACTATTTTAATTTGTGGCTGCAAAATGACCGCGTGCTCTTGCTCTCTTTTTTTTCCTAGGTAGCCATTTTGTTGCAGCTAAAGGAAATTTCTTCCTGTGTTTTTCTCTTACTATAAAATTCTGATAATACTAATTTCTTTGTGGAAATAATCTTGGCATGAAAAAGTTGAGCTAAAAAAATCCACTCTTCTCATGAAGCAAATAAGAGTCTGTCTAAATGGCTTTCCTAACTGTGTTTGGTATTTGTCAATCCCTCTATGTCTTTGAAGGAACATCTGAACAAAAAGCACAAACAGTAGCATTTGCTCAGACAATTCTACGAGTAAGAGACACTGTAAATGAACAACCGAATGGTCTGCTAACTAACTTGAGCTTTAGAATTCAACAAATGCCAGAAGTATTTGCAGTAAAAGTAGGAGCATAAATATCTTGTGAACAGGAGACAGGATGCTTACATTAAAAACACGTGATTATTTTTATTTTACTAGCTTTGCTCCTAAATCAAGCCATCCTCATTTCCCTTCTCTTAAAAGAACAGGCTTGCATTCGATCTTGTGGGTACAGATGTGGCCTAGGTAGCATTCTTGGTCCGTTTCGGAAGCTGAAAGGCACGAATGAGCCTAGCTTGGCTCTGCAGTGTACAGACAGCCCCAGGTCTTAGTGTGCCACAGAAAAACTAATCTACAGATGTGACACCAAAGTTTTGCACCAGAGCTCTCCCAGCTCTTTGCTGTTTGTTAGTCACTGCCTCCACAGAGCCCCCTTGTGTGCTTCCAGCCTGCATCCTTTGGTCTGGACAGACCTAATGACCATGGCTTTGTTGTAATTTGGCAGGACTTGTGAGCTTAACCCAAACCATTCTGTGCTGTTACAGCTTTGTGGTATGTGTAAGTGGGGGAAGGTCTCCATTGGTGAACAGCTTCTAAATTGTACTGTCTGTATTGCTCTCATATGTTTTGTGTTCAATAACATTAAACTATTGATCATTCCAAGCCCTGAAAAATATGATTCTGCTATTTTGCACAGTGTATTTCACCGACTAGATGACTGATAAATAAAACCTGGACAGAATTCCACCTCCCAAACTTGACAGCTGGGGGTTGGTCCAAAGCAAATCTTCCTTAAATCTTAAGGGGGAATGTTGGATTTGTCCGCAGGCTTAAACTCCCCAATGCCTCTTGTTGCCATGTTGAGTAAAACTAAATTTATCCGTGCCCTGAAACCAGACAGACTTTCAGATCCACATTTGGCAAACAGCACTCCCGTTAATCATCATGACCGTGGGTCACTGTGTTCCCGATTCCTTCATCTTTGTGTTTACCATTCTGGGATAAATACCTGGGCGCTTGTGCACTGGCTCACTGTTTGCACTTAGCAGGCAGTCACTGTGTAGTGCGTTTGTTTACCTTCGCCAAGGAATCTCCTAAACAGCTTATTTAAAGGATTGATTGCCTGCCTCTGGTGCGACCCAGTGGCCACATTAGAAATGCTTTCCAGGCTTTTCGGTTTCTAGTTAGGCTTTGCCCTCTACTGACAGAACTGCATTGCAGCTACTTCAGCGCATTGCATACATGACCCTTTGCTTTGGGTTCGTTTGGTTTCCAATTCACTAGTAAAACAGACACAGAAAGGTTAAAAGAGCAGAACGACTTTGAAGAGTGTTAATTGTTGAAAACATCAGTCTCTCCACAGACTCTACAGGAAGGAGGGGAAATATGGAGAGAATGGACACATAAATGCTCATCCAGAAATGTTTGTTCAGACTCGGAGTATGAGTCTGGACCCCCCAAAAAATCATTAACAGCAATGAACAATGCTGAATATAGGTACGAAATTTTAATATATGCTGGTTATTGCGCTTGGTTTACCAGAAACACTGGGGGATAAGTAACAATCATGAATAATTCATGACAGTTGCTATATTGGCTTTTGCAAATTCATCAATAACAGTCTGTACTATGACATTAGATTATTTGAAAGCGTGACTATACCATGAGCATGTGAGGGTGCTGTGGGGAAGATGGAATTTTATTTCAGGTTTTTTTTTTCCCCTGATCACAAGTTTAATCCTAGAGTGAAATTAGCATTGTATTTAATTTACATTCCAACCAGGAACAATATGAATGTTCTTCCATTCATAAAGGATCAGAAGCATTTCCCAAGGATATTTTTTGTTTGCTTGGATTGGCCCAGGCTTAGAAGAACTGGAGGCAGACAACCTGTCTGTGATCATCAAGGTCATTACCTCTGCAAAGAGCAGCTGAGGAAACTCTGGGAATTTCTATAGGCAATTACACCAAAAAAACAGCTTTGTATCTTCTCTAACAATACAGTTAAAATCATAACAGTATCATACTATATTTTTTAGATAAGCAGGACCACATATGTCCTCCCCAACATGTGAGACAGATAGCATCTCATCAGCATGGCTGCACACTCCCAAAAGCAGCAATAGCCAGTAATACAGATGAATTCTCTGTACTTGTTTGTTTTCTCCATCCAGGCTCAGGGAATTAAAAATCACACTGCAGATATTAATGCAGAGGTGTCCTTTCTGGGAAAGGACTGTGGAAGTATAATACAGGACCAGGAAAAATCTGTTGTCCTGTAGCAGTATCATTAGCTAAATGACAAGCAAAACGATAACATTTTAAAGAGGTTGTTCATGAAGGGGAATGGTATTCCCTTATATATGGCTGAGGTGATCCTTACTATGGCTGAGGTGATCCTTACTACAGCTTCACTGTATATTCATTTTCTCACTTCACCTTCCTCTTCCCTAGTCCAACATGTGTTTTTATAAGAGTAATTTCCCATAGTGAACTGGACAACAACATCCATTAAAGCATCTCTATAAATCTGATTCCAGAGAACAGTGTTGCCTAAATAAAATTTTGATGACTTATTTGTTTTGTAACAGGATGATGCAACTTCATTTCAACTGATTTCACTTTGGATCCACAGCTAAAAGAGGAAATCAGTATAAGTTTTGAATAAATGCCAGCCTGCAAATGTTAAGGATTTTCCCAGAATATTCTGTGGTCAAATTTTTAATAATTTAAAAGATTTCCTGTACCACAGGTATACAGACAAGCACCAGCTTAGTATACAGACTGAACACATGATCAGATCTGCTTTTTCCTCAGTTTCTCAGAGGAGAATACAAATTTAAAGCATTGGTCACAGGCATTTACCTCCCTCCCCTTTCACTTTCCAGCAGCCAGCTGATTTGAATGACTGCCTACACTGCCTATTCCTATCAATGGCACTTTTGGCCTGTAGTAGAAGCTTTGATTAACAGAAACTTAAGAGAAGTGGAAGAAAGTTAGAACACACACGTGCTTAGGTCTCCCAAAAAGATCTGAAGCCATTGCAAAACTACTAGGAAATAGGCCTCTTTAAACATTACAAACAGATCTGTTGCTGT